AAAAATTCATGAAAGTGTTGTTATGGATCTTTGTCAAGTATTTGATCAAGAATTAGATGCATTAGAAGTTGAAACTGTACAAAAAAGAAACAATTCATCCAAGAAAATCATATAAAATGAATTCATCATGTGCAGATATTCTTCTATTTGCTGCATATAAATGGAATATAAGTAAACCATCATTATTAGCTGATTCGAAAGATGTTATGGATAATACAACATCACAAAAATATTGGTTTGATATTCAATTACGTTGGGGTGATTATGATTCTCATGACGTTGAACGTTATGCACGTGCAAAATTTCTTGATTATACAACTGATAATATGTCAATTTATCCATCACCAACCGGTGTTATGATTGGTATTGATTTAGCATATAATTTACATAGTGCATTTGGTAATTGGTTTCCTGGTTGTAAACCATTAATTCAACAAGCTATGGCTAAAATAATGAAAGCTAATCCAGCTTTATATGTATTACGTGAACGTATACGTAAAGGTTTACAATTATATTCATCTGAACCAACTGAACCCTATTTATCATCACAAAACTATGGAGAATTATTTTCAAATCAAATTATTTGGTTTGTTGATGATACAAATGTTTATCGTGTTACAATTCATAAAACTTATGAAGGAAATTTAACAACTAAACCAATTAATGGTGCAATTTTTATTTTCAATCCACGTACAGGACAATTATTTTTAAAAATTATTCATACATCGGTTTGGGCTGGACAAAAACGTTTAGGACAATTAGCTAAATGGAAAACAGCTGAAGAAGTTGCAGCTTTAATTCGTTCATTACCTGTTGAAGAACAACCAAAACAAATTATTGTTACTCGTAAGGGTATGCTTGATCCATTAGAAGTTCATTTACTTGGTAAGTTTTTTCATTTAGAAGAAAAATAGAAAATATTATTATTTCTTTTTTAATAGATTTTCCAAATATTGTCATCAAAGGTAGTGAATTACAATTACCATTTCAAGCTTGTCTTAAAGTTGAAAAATTTGGTGATTTAATCTTAAAAGCTACTGAACCACAAATGGTTATGTTTAATTTATATGATGACTGGTTAAAATCTATATCATCTTATACAGCATTTTCACGTTTAATTCTTATTCTTAAAGCTTTACATGTTAATAATGATCGTGCTAAAATGATTTTAAAACCAGATAAAACAACTATCACAGAAATTCATCATATATGGCCAACATTAACAAATGATGAATGGATTAAAGTTGAAGTTTCATTAAAAGATTTAATATTAGCTGATTATGGTAAAAAAAATAATGTTAATGTTGCATCATTAACACAAAGTGAAATACGTGATATTATATTGGGTATGGAAATAAGTGCACCAAGTGCTCAACGTCAACAAATAGCTGAATTGAAAAACAAACAAAAGATTCATCACAATTAACTGCAACAACAACTGAAACAGTTAATAAACATGGTGATAGAATTATAACAACAACAACAACAAATTATGAAACATCAACATTTGCATCGAAAACTGAATGGCGTATACGTGCAATATCAGCAACGAATTTACATTTACGTACAAATCATATTTATGTTTCATCAGATGATATTAAAGAAACAGGTTATCGATATATTTTACCAAAAAATATTTTAAAAAAATTCATTATTATTTCGGATCTTCGTACACAAGTAAGATTTTCAAATATTTCTTTTTTTTGTCAAGAGGGAAAATTTTATTTTTTATTTAGATTGCTGGTTATTTATATGGTGTTAGTCCACCAGATAATCCACAAGTTAAAGAAATTCGTTGTGTTGTTTTACCACCGCAATGGGGTACACATCAAACAGTTCATCTACCAAATTTATTACCACAACATGAATATCTTAAAGTAAGTCATTAGATTTCATACAATCAATATTTTTATTTATAAAATTATTTTGATTAGGATATGGAACCTCTTGGATGGATTCATACACAACCAAATGAATTACCACAATTATCTCCACAAGATATAACAACTCATGCTAAAGTAATGAATGATCATGCATCATGGGATGGAGAAAAAACAGTTATCATAACATGTTCATTTACACCTGGTTCTGTATCATTAACAGCCTATAAATTAACACCAACTGGTTATGATTGGGGTCGATCAAATACGGATCGAGGAAACAATCCTAAAGGTTTGATTAGAAATATATATTAAAAATAAAATCATAGGGTAAATTTTTGTTTTAGGATATGCTCCATCACATTATGAAAAAGTTCAAATGCTTTTGTCCGATCGTTTCTTAGGATTTTTTATGATACCAGGACAAGGTTCATGGAATTATAATTTTATGGTAAAATATTTTTATTTTTTATTTTCATAAGAGAAAATATTTTTGCTTTTACTTTTAGGGTGTTCGTCATGATGCTAATATGAAATATGATTTAATGTTATCAAATCCTAAAGAATTTTATCATGAAATTCATCGTCCATCACATTTTCTTAATTTTTCAAATGAAGAAAATCCTGATACATTTACAGTTGATCGTGAAGATCGACTTAATTAAACATTCAACCGGTTATTTCTTTGTATAATCATGTTTTTCTTTCTGTCTTCTTCT